AAGATAGTCATATGGGTCATGTGCAGAGGCAAAGTACAACCAGCTGTAGAGGCCAGGGCAGAAGATGGTATTTACCTAGACTGCTCTCCCCAGTGCCAGCCATCCATGCCCTTGACCTCAGTCAGTCTCTGCTCCCAGTTGGCAGATGGGCTCTCCACTGTCATGGTCAGAACCAGCTCTTTCTGCCAAGTGAACAGCCTGGCTTTGCCAGCATGTGACCTCTCCTGCAGTCAGCTGCAATGTTGGGCCCTTTTCTCCACTGGCCTTGATGCCCCTTTGCAGCACCCAGGGCTGTGACTGCCTCTGTGCAAGCTGAGCAAGCTGGTGTCTCTCAGCTTCTCCCAGAGGAGTTGTGAGAAGAAGTGACTTGGCATAGCACACCCCACCCAGCACAGGGATGTGTAGAGGAGAAGAGCAGGGCTGCAGGTGAAGCACAGCCCAGGGATCCAGGGTTCAGCTGTCCATCAGGATTTGGTACAGCTCCTCTGCTGGAGCCTCATGTCTGCCTGCCCTGGTCTGTTTTCAATCTCCTCACTCTCCTGTGTCATGGATTATGTCAGTGTGGTTTGGGCAGGGGTTTGTGAACAGGCTCTGGGTTGCTGTCGCTTCCTCAGAGGAGATGGGGAGAGCCTGGTGTGTCTGCTGGCTAAAAGCTTGGCAGGGAGCAGGCTGGGCAAAGCAGCCACTGCTTGGCATAACCCCTGGCCTGCTTTTTTGCTTAATGAGCCACCTTATCTGTCATGTTCCTGATGGCAGATGGGGAATCTTCAGGATTAATTAAGGATCATAACTGTGACCTAGTTACCAGACTTGCACTCTTGTCTCTGGAGCTCTCTGAGCCATCAGGCTGTTTGAGAGAGCTTCTTACCCTTGCCTTCTCTGGTTACTCACTTTGTGTATCCTTCTGGGACTGACTCTGAGCCCCAGGCAGGATCATATTACATTAATTTCTCTAATAGATCCCTGCTTTACCCGTGGGTAGGTAACTCTCTGCTTCCTGCTTGCAGTGCCACAGTCGGTGTGCGGATTGGATATGCTGACACAGACCCTTCACAGGGCTGTCTCCTGTTTGGGAGCAGGCTGCAAGATGAGGGAGGATGGTGCTGGAGACAACGTCCTGAGACAGTCCAGTTCCATGTTACCATACCTTAAACCATATGGATACTAAAAGATTATTCCAGGGCCTCTCTTCTCTCGGCTCAAATCTTTCTCATTTCTAGCTTGTGCTTTATTGTGGAAAGCCCTTAGGGATGCTCCCCTTATGGGGAAGCAGCAATGATAAATAGAGCTTGAGAAGTAAACTGAGTTAAAGCCCTTCTAACCCTGCTTCTCACCTGTCAGATTTTCAGGTAGAGCACTGTTCCAGCTGTTAATGTGTCAGCCCTGTGTTCCTGTGCTCGGCAGACCTGCTACAACCCAATCCCTCCTTCTGCTGAGGAGGGGTTTGCACCACAGGCATCTTTTTGTTCTGTGCCTCCTGTTGCTGCTGGTTTGGTGGGAGCTTGCCTTGGCCACGGGACTGAGTCCCACGCAGCCAGGCCATTGCATGAGCTCCCAGCCTCATGCACAGGGACTGCACATGGCCTGTGTTGTGTACACGTGAGGGAGTCTTGTGTTCCTGAAGCTCCCCTCAGTCCCCCATGGAGCTTTAACAAGCCTGATGTTCTGCTCAGGGTCTGTCCATAGCCCCAGTGGGATCCCAGCAGCTCCTGCTGGTTTTGGACAGAGGAGCATGAAGGATGCTGCAGAGTGGGACCCCGGGGAAGCAGCACTGTGTCCTCAGAAGCCAGCCTGGAGCGGGAGGCTGCCTGGCTTTTCTCCTCCGCCTCGAAAAACATCTCTCGTGTTCCAGTGACCTGCTTGTTATATAGGTCAGCACCAACTGGAAAAGAAAAGCAATTTCAAAAGCAGGAATGAATTCTCCACACAGCAGTTCTTTCCAGAAAAGCAAGGAAAATTTTCCTGGGGGAGGTGGCAGGCAGCATGGCCTGTTCTTCCACCCACCCAGTGCACAGCAGTTGGAGAGGGAAAGCTCTGAGGCTGTAGGGATGTGTGATACCCTGAAAGCAAGCACAGTGTGCCATGTGATGGGGGAACAGTGCATGAAGTTAGGCAATAGGAACTTGAGTGCTTGGGGGTTGTTTGTCCTTTATTGACTTCCTTGGGCTTGGTTTTGGTAAAGAGGAGGTGTTTCTGCTGGTCTGCTTGGTCATGTATCTGCACAGCAGAGACTGGTGCCATGTTGCTGGAGGAGCAGTCCCTGCTGGGACACGAATGTCCTGCCAGGGTGAAAAGGGGACACAGAACAAGCAAATGCCTTTGGATACCAAAAGTAAAACAGACCTCAACCAAAATTCATCTCAGTATTGTGCTGGTGCCATTACCCTGGGGCTGCTCCACTATGCTTGTAGCAGAGCTGACACCTTGTGATACCCTCTGAGGAAAGAGAAACAGCATAAGCTTAGCATAAACTCCTGACTGTAACCTAACCAAGGGACAAGTTTCTCTGTGCACAACAGGTTTGGTGAAGTCCAACTTCACTTGTACTTGTCTCTGATGCAGTAAATCTTAGTATCTGTCACTATGCTCACTTCTCTCCCAAATCACCTACTAAACATCAGCTTGGTGGGAGACATCCTGTGCCCTGGCTAATTCTCACTTGGGAAAATGTGTGTTTACTTGCTGGCCAGCCAGCAGGCAGGGGACAGCTGCAGCTTTTTCTTGGCAGGAGCAGGAATGTAGCTCCCCTCTCTCCCTTCTCACTATGGAATTTCTCTTTCCCTTCAAACATGTAGAAACACCATGTTTTTGAGACAGCTAGGTTTAACAGGAGAAGCTAAAATCACTCAAAGGCTTCACTCATTATCAAAGTGAGGCAACACAATCTCGAAATTGTAAAATGAGATTTCAGTATGCTGCATTTTTGGTGATGAAAAGGTGTGTGGGGAGGTGGGATGTGCAGGGAGCAGATGGCTCTGTCTGCATCTGCCTTGCTGTTTGCTGGGCCCCCTCCCCATTCACCTGGCCTAAAGCTGAGTGTTTGAAACCTCTCCAGCTGCAGGAGGCTCCTGGCACCACCTCATGCACTTGAAGGTGCACTGACTTTTTCCCAGATCACAGGTTCTTGCAGAGCTGCTCACTCTGTTTGGATACAGCCTCCTGCAGCCTTTGCTCCTTGCTTTATAACAGCATCTGCTGTGCTGGCTTGATAAAGCATATCTGCCTGTGACTGGACTGTCCTTCCTCTTCAGTGTCTTGATCTTGGTGTTTTCCATTTAATATTTGAAGCGCTCTCTGCAGATCCCAGCTCTCCCTGTCTCACCCAAGGGTAGGCAGTCCTTGACCCATCACACCACGGTAGTCTGGAGAAGTCAATGCAGGAAGCAACACAGCACTGGAATTTTGAACAGAATTATGTTTTTTCACCCTCAGTAACAGGACATCTCCCATGCTTTGTGCACTCACATGGAGCAGAGCATTAAGGCAGCAGGCATGTGCCTTAGCTGGAGGCACTGCCAGCGATCTGCCAGTGTACTGCACACAGCTTGGAAGTCACAGCCAAGATGTAGAATTAGGGTACATTCCTAGCACAAGATTTTCTCAGTTAGCAGGGGATGGGTGCCCTGAGGCTGGGATTGTCACACTGGCTTGGTGGGTCCTTGCACAATGAAGCTGCTGTGTGTTGGAGACAGCAGAGCGCTGGTGCTGTCATGTACTTGTGGTGAGAGTGTTGAGGATGGCTTGTTATCTGTGCTTGGAGGAAGGATTTGATTAGAAACTGTCTCACAAATGTGTGGTTATTGAATGAGTTGCTCCTTTAGTATGCATGAGCCATCTCCACATACGTGACAAGTGCATCTGTCTTGGGCAGGCAGCTGCTCTAAAGGAAAGCAGATGAGCTTTCCTCATCACAAGCTTTTCCTCATCAAGCTTTTTCTAAATTGCTCCCTGCATGGAGCAATTCTACAACAATATTAAACACAGCAGCAGGGGTGAGTCAAGCAGATCTTGTCAAAGCTGCCCTATTTTTTCTCTTTTTGGTTTTATTATAAATTGAATTCACTGTGCCACAGGGAACAGAGCTGTTCTCAGCACGATTGGTAGCAACAAATAGCCACCCAGGAAAAATATGTATTGTGTGGTAACTGGGAAGAACCTCCTGTTCTCAACATCTTCAGCCTATCTGGGGCTTGTTGCCATGAAATTGTGGAGCTTAACTAAAGCATGATTGGGCTGTGAGAAAATCCCTTTAGCCACTGGTTAACTGAGCTTTACCACACTGTGTGTGTGTCGTTGTCTTCAGAAGTTGGTGAGACCATAAATTTAGCAAGATGGAGTGTCCAGCTCAGGTTCTTAAATGGAAAACAAGGCAACCTGGTGCTGGAATCAACAGTGATGAGGGAAACTTGGGTGTTACTGTCCAGACATAAACCAGTCCTGAGATGCTGGAGGACAGGTGTGCAGGCAGTTTGTGGTTCTTGCACCTCTTTGGGAAGTGTCTGGTGTTGGTCTGGATAAGAGATGAGATGAGGCAGCCCTCGGACTTGACATGGAGGCCTTGACAGCACTCTGCCTGGCCTGGGGCTCTGCATAGCTTTCTGTTGCGAGAGCGCATCTCCCATTTGCACAACTTTGCTTTGCTAATATCAAGATAATTCTCGGTGTTGTTCAACGTCGGTTTTTGCCCAAACCATGAACAGCAGTTTAACAGTTACTGTAGCCTCAGATTTGTAAAACTTGTGGGCAGCAGGTGAGCTGTACTGGAACATGGAGGGTCTTTGAAGCAAACACCAGCCCGGTTCTTGGATAACTTGGGCTGCTAGCAAGTAGTTGTCCCACCAGTTACTTGTCTTGGAAACTTCAGTTGTCCTGTGGATGACACAACTTCTAATTTGAATTAATGTCAAAGTAAAGGGTGCCTGAAGAAATAAACTACCTTGGCTGTTTGTGTTGCAGTGAGTTCTCTGCAACTTGAAGTTTTTCTTTCCTGCAGACCCCCAATTTGCCAATGCTCAGATCTTGGCTTCCACCTCTGGAGTGTGCAGTGACCCCAGCACAGACCTGGCCTGCCCAGGGCAGGAATGAGTGAAGAGCACAGCTGGGCCCTGCTGGGCAAGAGAAGGAGGACTTGGAGATGGCTGTGCACCAGTGATGCAGGTAAGGGAGGTAAGGAGGCAAGATGAGGCTGCTGGAACCTCAATGGTCTTAGGATTCCTCTGGTCTTTCTGCAGCCTGCAAAGTAGGTCCTTGCAGCCTCTGTCTCTGTTCCTGCGCTTGCCCAGACACTGCTGGGTTAAGTGGACAGGAAATCCTCCCTAGGAGGTGACTTAATTACAACCAGACAAAGCCTCAAGGATCAGGGCCTCCAGGTAAGCCTCTGACATCTCTGGTTGCTCAGCCCAGTGGAGTTGGGACCATGCAGGGAACTGGTTTCACAGCTCTCTTGTGCTGGCTGAGGTTGTGCTGTGGGGGACAGGAAAATAGCCCAGTGTCCCAGCATGAATCAGCCATCCATTCATACCCAGCTTCTCCAGCAGTACCAGGCAGTCCTGCACGGAGATGGGCTGCAAGGATAAAGGACTGACTCTCTTGTGACAGGAGGGTTCATGCCAGATGTGGCTGACTGCTGTTGGTGACAGGAGAAAGAGACTTGGACTGAAGAGCTTTCCTACGCTCTGGGTGTTCAGGGCTGAAGATCCAGTCACTACATCACTGTCCAAGTGCTTTGGGTTGGAAGTTCAGGCTCCATCTCTAAGAATTGAGGAGACAAGCCTACAAACAAGAATCTTCTGACTTGGTGCCTTTTCATATTTGGTTTTGCAATTCTCTTGTGTTTTAAAGGATTTTTGCTAGGCTAGGATATGATTTACTCTTGGCTTCCTTTTCCATTTGTTTCAAGCTGAACTCCATGAGGGCACAGTGTTGTACTGTTGTGCTGACTGCCTGCCAGTGGCTTTGAACGTGATGGCCATGCTTCAGTTCATTGAAAAGCTCAAAGATCAGTGAAGCTTTTAAAAGTTCCTAACAGATCTCTGAAACCACAAAGCCAGCTGATAGAAACCTTGCCATCCACTGACCAAGAAACAGGCTGTAGCAGACTTGAACTGTGGCAGACGTGAGAAAAAAAAAAACCAAACCAGAAACTAATTATCCAAATACTAAATCCATGAGGGACCTGGTTTCCTTAGGTCTGCTGTTGATGGAGGTCCTTGCACGGCAGAGAAAACAAAATCACTCACCAAGTAGAAACTAAATGAGTGGAAAAAATTTCTGGATTGCTTGCAGCTATTTGCCAGTAGTGTAAGGCAGGAAAAGGTTAAACATTAATTTCTATTTATCTCTTTTGTACTTTTTTTCACTTGTCCAGTGCTAATTCAGTGTAGCAGCCTGGAGGGTGGATGGCACACACAGTGCTGGGGAAAGAGATGCTTTTGGGTGAGGATATAGTGTGAATGTTCACCTTTGGGGGTATCTTGCCAGGCCAGGGCTGCTGTTGCCAGTCAGGCCAAATGTCACTGAGCTGTTGGGTGAGGGTTTGGCCTTGGCAGCCAGGGTTGCTGCTGCTGTGGAGTTACCCTGCTGCAGCCGGGCCCATTCAGTACTGTGTGCCTGGACAGATGAGAAGGTGATGACTTAGCCTGTGCTATAACCCCTGCCTTGGGTTTCTCCAAGCCTGTCAATTGTGAGTCACTATTTGTTTATTTACAAAGCACACAGAAATGATATCAATACTAAGGCTGTTACAGACACTGCTGTTTGGACATCAGACTGTGTTTGTAGAGCAGAGGCAGAGCAATTGCACAATCTATGTAAGTAGTCAACCATTCCTAAGAAAACCACTCAGATATCTCAGGTTTTCTACCTGGTCAATTGCTTGAGCCAAATGACCTGATTCTCTCCTTGCTTTTACAATGTAGAGGGTTTGATTTTCCTGCTGCAAAGGTGTTTTACTGTGTGTGGGCTTTGTGTCATCTTTCCACCACCCCTACTGCATAAAAGCATTAGATCAAAAACTGTAAGAACACCACATCCATACAGGTGCATTTCACTTGGGAAGGACAGGGGTTGCATAAAAGATATGTTCAACTTAATTTAACGTGATTATCCATGATTTTATTTGTTAATGCTAAAGCTTCCTCTCCACAGTCTAAGCCCAGAACCCCTTTGTGAATGCTGGTTTCACCAGCACAGCAGGGACCAGAGCTCAGCTCAGGGGCAGAGTCTGTACCACACTGAACAAGGTAAAAGAGCTCATGGTGGGGTTGGCACCAGGAACCTTTACCTTATAATTATGACATCTGGAGGTGATATGAGGGTACCTCTTTATAGTAGCAAGGAAATGTTTCTGTAACTGTGCAAGAAACATATTGTCAGCACTAACAGTAAAATTATGCTTTTGCTGTTGACTTTGTAAGATCAAAGCAGCCCCCTCCTTGTGACAGAAAATCTGCTCTAGCATAATCCTCAGCTAAGATAACGGGCCACAGGTAGGTGTTAGTTGTTTGGCCTAGCTTAAGAGAGCTGGGAATCTCTGTTTATAATTAGAGTAAATAAGCTTGCTGGAAAATCGTCATCCTCTTCTTCTTTGGGTCATTTTTATCCATGACACCCATGATTGCAACATCAGTGTGATTAATTCCATGCAAGGGATTTATCTAAAATGTCTTTTCATGCAAGTTTAGATCATTTGCTTGCACAGTGTTGTAATACTTTACAAACAAGAAGCAGAGCAGCCCTGTGTCTGCCCTCCTTGGGGATGGTGGTCGGTCTTTTTAGGCTCACAAGAGACAGAAGGAGGAACTGAGCACTCTGAGAAGACACTTTGAGAAATGAGCTTGTGAAATCCCACACTGCCAAATGAGGCTTTGTTTTGCACAAACAACACTGAGACTTGAATACTTCAGTTTTGGCTGACTGTATGAGTCAAGTGAGTCAGAGCCAATGTCCATCCAGCTAGCAGTAGACCCCAAACAAAGATGCTGGTGTGCACTGTGCTCCTGGCAATCCCCTGAGCCAGAGGATATGGACCAGGAGTTAAAAAAAAAAAAAAAAAAAAAAGTGTTAATAATTAAAACAATAAAAGTTCTGGTGAACTCTGCCTTGATGGACTTTTATGAGCATGACAGAATCACTAGGTTGGAAGAGACCTTCAAGATAAATGTGTTTAGTTTAGAGCTGAAACTTGGCAATGAGTTAAACAGTTCTGTGTAATTCGGAAACTAATTTCCTTAAAAGAAAATAGTATATTTGTGTTCAATATCAGCTACACTTTGCCCTCTGAAATCTAGGATAGCATATCACACTGTCATGAAACTTGCTGGTCTTTAAACTCACCGTTTGAAACCCATCTGGTTTTGCTTTGGCTGAGTATCCTTTAATGTCAACAGGGTGCATTTCTGACATCTTTTGTCATGGTGTAAGTATTTATGGCAACCATGTTGTGCTAGACAGATTTTTCCCTGAAGGTCAGGACAGCTGCAGATGAAATAGCCAATCCCTTCCTCTGCTGGTCCTTTACTGTACCTCTGCAATTTCTAATAAATGTTTTCTGGTTAGAATAATTGCCTTCAGGGTAATTTGATAGAACTAAAGGCTGCTAACCCTAATTGTTGAATAAGTTGATTTAGCAAGTGAAGTGCTTCCCCTTTGCCTTATAGCTAGGACCTTTTTGATGCACCTAGGTTTGTACCACTAGGTTTGGACCACACTGCTTAAGTAGGAAAACAAAACCAGATACTCTTAGCATGAAGTTCTCCTACCCCCTGAAATTGGACACCATCTCTCTTCAGGTTAACACAAAATACAGAAAATACTTCAAGTTAACACAAATTATCGAAAATAATAAAAATAACAAGAGTTAGAAACAACAGGTCTATCTAGCACCTCAGCTCTAATTATAATAGTGTTCAACCAGTGCCTGCATTTGGCAGAGGTATTGCCCTCTGTGATCAAATCAGCCAGCTTGAACAAGAGCTTGGCCATTCTCCAGGTTTAGTGTGGCACTTTCCTGGGCAGGCAATGCCCTTCTCGTGCTGTTCTCTGGGGAAGTCCCTCACACAGAACAAGTTTCAGTGGATCACTTCCTCATTCTGCTCCTCAGCTTCTACTTGGGACAGGCTAGAATTTGCCAGGAGCTTGACAACTGGGCAGTAGTCATACAGCCCTTGAACTGGAGCCAGTATGAACACAGCTATGGCAGAGGCTGTGGGGTCTGCTCCCAGCAGCTGAGGTCTGGTCCTTCTGTGCAGTGGTGGTTATTCAAGGGACCAAATAACCCCTGAGGAGCAGCTGAGTGTGATATTCCCCCTGTTTTCCTCTTGGCTGCTTGGAGCATCCTGAAGCCCAGCAGGTGTTTTCTGTTCAGCTGTGGTAGCAGGCTGTACTAGATAAATATCTACATATCAGCAGGTTCAGGAGGGTTTGTGGGTGTCTCTGTTTAGGCTGGTCTGGACTTTGTCATGTTTTGCTGCTGTTCCCAGATGCTTCCTTCTGCACTTAATAAAGTAGGGTATGGCATCACTTTTGGTTTTGTCTTTGGAAGAGTAAACAAAACAGAGACCAAAAGCCAGCTACTTAAAACATACTCCTCTGCTGTGACTGGGGAAAATCTCTCCTTCAGATACAGGCATCCACTGTTTGCATTGCTCATCTTCCTGGCAGGTGTTATAGGCTTTGTCTGCCTCACTTGGGTCAAGCCTAACCCTTCTGATCTATTTTTGAAATGCCTGAAATTCTATTGCTTCCTCTCATGGATTCTGGTTCCAGCTGTTTCCCACATCTCCAAGAAATGATGAAAAAAGAACTCATCAGAGGATCAAGGTATGGTGCTAGACAAGAATGTGCTTGGTTTTGCCAGGGCTTGGTTTATCTATCAGACACATTGCAGGCCTGGCATTGAGCTGAAAGGCAGGGGCAGAGGAATGTGCCTGGTCTCCAGGAGGGAGTAAGCCTGACCAAGAAATGCAGAGCTGGGTGACTTGCAGTGGGAAATAAATTATTCTGAGAAGGCCTGAGGTGTTGCAGGAGACTCTACACCTACAGGCTTTTCCTATATCTCAGGATAATTCAAAGCAGCACACCCCAAACTCACTGCAGCTGTAGCACCTCCCCCTTTTTTGACATCCATTTTCACATCCATTTGCAAAAGACTGGAGCTAGACAGTGAAATATCCTCTGATCCTCCAATATTCCAGCCCTTAATACAGTATTAAGCTCTGTTGCAGCAGTTTGAAGGATTCAAAGCTAGATATAAACCATTCTATAGAGGAAATACAGTAATGTTTATACTTCTCCCTTGTGCTGCTGGTGACTCTCCCCCTGTTGACAAGCTCTTCATTCATTGGCTTGACCATGACAAGCCTGCTTTTAGCACTGTTTCCAAACTTAGCCAGTGTTTAGAACAGATTGTCAGAGAACAGCAAGCTGGCAGTGCTAACAAGGTGAGCTCAGGGGTTGTTCTGGGCTCGCAGCCATCTGCAGGGTCTCTGTCACCTCAGAAACAGCCTCGCCTCTCTCAGAGATCACAGAATGCTGCAGCCAAACTGCCTCACACTGGGCTGCAAGGGAGAGACAAGCAGCAGCTCACAACTGGGGAGCAAGACAGGTTGGTTGTATCGATCCTGCTGGCAGGAAGAGTGTTGACTCCACACAAAGGCTTGCTGCAATGTGTTTCAATAAGGAAAACCCTTTCCCCTAGCTTGGCAGAAGTTTTCACAGCCAATTGAAAGACTAGTTTGTTACCAAGGAGCTTTGTAAGGCGTTTCTCCAGTGAATCTCAGAAGGTGCAGACTGTCAGGGTGTTTCTGCAGGTGTCAGAGGGGTGCAGCAGGAAGGGTTTCCAAATGGAGCACTGGGATGTCCCAGTGCAGCTGTCCCTGTAGTTCTTAGGGGAACCACTGCTGGGTGCAGCTGAACATGGCTCAGGCCTCTCCTGCCCATAGCCCTTCAGGACAGCTTTGTGGACTGGCTCAGGTAAAAACCCAGGGCCGGTTATCACTTAACAGAAACATATTGTAACATCTGAGCCAGCCCAAGGTTTCAAACTCCCATAACTGTCTTCTTAAACATCTAGGTTTGGAATTTAGCCAAGACCGAACTCTTAGTTCTTATGTATTTTTGTTTTTCAGACTTGAACTGGTTACAACTAACTCTCCCCCTCTGCACTTTCCAGCTTCTATGATTCTGTAGCCCAGCTATGATTCTATAGTCCATCACAAGGTGCTGGAAGGCTACAAGTCAAGAATGAATCACAAAAAAAGGACCCTAGCTGCATTGTGCCTGGATAAGAAGCTGGAGGAAAGCTGCCCCTGAGGAAGCTACCAAGATCGTTGGCCTGTCCATGGAACTGCTGCTGGCAGGGAGAAGGAGATGTTCACAGCAGCTCCTGCACAGGACACACAGGTGTCTGCTCACAGAAAGCTTGTGCTTGCCAAAGTAACACAGCTAATCCCCAACACGTGTCCCTGCATACGCAGACCCTGTACACCTTGACAAGCAGCTGCTCCCCCACTTCCCAGCTGTGCTGGAGAATGTCTGGAATGCCTCATCTCTGTCACCACCACCCAGCAGCCAGGCTGTGGCTGGCCTCCATCTTTGGCATCGGGGCTGGGTTTTCCCACATTCCCCCTGTGCAGTCTAGTGCTGTCCCTTGGGCTGGTCCCCTGGGCTGGCCTCTCTCCCTGATATCCACAAGGACATTTCTGCAGGTGTCAGAGGGGCCCAGCCAGAAGCTCCCCAAACAGAGCCCTGGCATGCCCAAGGCTGCAGCCATCCCAGCTCCTCCCTGGGGACCCACTCCTGGTGCAGCCAGACACGGCTCAGGCCTCTCCCTGCCCACAGCCCCTCAGGACAGCTCTGTGGACACTGCTGGGCTCTGGATCCCACCACTGGTGGCTCTGGGACAGAGAAGCAACAAGTTCCCTTCCGCAGTTTCTGCTCCCCCTGCCAGGGCACCACTGCCAGCCATCACTGAGATGTCACCTGCAATGTCCCCACAGCACAGGCACCACGGTAACATGCCAGAACATTCCATTGGAACCCACAGTTAGCCATGGCCTGTTGGCTTCTGCCCACTGACTGGGAGAACGAGGTATGGCTGTGCAGGGCCAATGAGGGAAGCTTCAGTCCACCTGTGAGAATAGAAAAGCAAGCTGATTCCCACAGAAACACCACCCCTTTCTACTCCAGATGCACTGGGGCAGTGGGCTGACATGGCTGCTCCTGGCCTTCCAGGACAGGGGGAAATTGTGCCCTGGGACACTCCCACACAAGCGATGGAGGACGAGCGGGACATCCGGAACGGCAGCGACAGACACAAGGCCAAACCAGCAGGCAAAGACAATCGACTCTTGCCCCTCTGCTTTCCAGAGAAGCTTTGGAAAATGCTAGAAAGTGACCAGTTTCGGTCCATTTGGTGGAGTGAGGGTGGAAAATGCGTGGCCATCAACAAAGATCTCTTTGAAGTGGAGGTGCTGGGCAGGGGAGTTTGTCAGCGGGTTTTTAACACACAGCACATCCGGAGTGTTATTCGCCAGCTGAACCTCTATGGATTCACCAAAGTGCAGCAGGATTTCGAAAGATCTGCCTCTCTGCCTGAATTCCTGGCAGAGGAAGCAGCGGCTTCTGCTCACAGCCAGGTACAGCAGCTGCTCTGCACAGCTACTCATGCTTGTGATAATCTTGGGGAGAGAGGGACCTTCACAGCAAAATAAGGTCTTGCCATAGAAGGGGTGGTGATGGGAGCGAGTGGTCTGGTTTTCATTCCCTTCTCAGGCTGTGCTCAGGCAGGTTTGAGTGAGTCTTTTTGACTAGTAGAAATGCAGATAAGATACATTTCAGTGAGAGCTACTGAGTTTGAACCTGTTTAAGGGACAGACAGACTCAGTGTAATCTGATTTCTCTGAATGTTTTTGCTCTGTGTCTTGCTGGACCAAATCTGGAACCTTCCTGTGGCACCTGCCCAATGCCAAGCAGATGCATCCAAGAATCAAGGGATTACCTGCCTGCTCACATCTGCACTGAAGCTGCTGAGAAATAGTGATGTTTAGCTTTTGAAAGCAGTTGTTCTGCTTTGGCCCCCAGGAGGGCAAAACCTCACTTGCGATGGCTGAACACAATGGTCACATCCTGCTTTAGCCTGAGCTTTAAGATCATATTTAAGTTCAAAGTCCTTTTTCTTAGCCATGCTCCTCTTTTGCAATTCAGAGTCATAGTTCTTGTAGCTTGGGTTTTTCCAGTCTTGGAATAGTAGCAAGTAACTCTTCTCCTTGTTTTAGGTCCTCTACTACTATAACCCCAGGTTCAACAGAGCACATCCCTGGCTGCTGGGAACATGCAAAAGGAGAGCTGCCCTCAAACAGAAAGGCCTGTGTGCAGCAGGGTTGGATGAAAGGCCCCTCCAGAAGCCCAGAGGGTCAGTGTGGAGGGACATGCAGGTGTCAGCTGAAGCCCATCCCTCTCCACTGGCAGCTGCTCCCATGCTTCTAGAGCCTCCTGGAGCACTTATAGATATAAAGTCTAATAGAGTTGATAATAAACTGTTTGAACAGTAAACCTTGTTTACTGTCCTGTCCTATTTGAAAACTCTCTGATACAGTTCTGTGTCTTTAATGTCCCACTTGTCCTTCGGTGGCCTCAGCAAGGCAGGTCCCAGCACAAACATGGCCATGTCATGCTAGCACAGAGAGGTCCAGCAAAGGCTGAGCTCCTTTTGGCACTGGACAGAAAAGAGGCCAGCACATTCTTTCTCTCTCTGAGGATAAGATATTGGAAGGGCAAATGATCTGTGCAAGGAAGTAATTGGTTTGGGTGGTGGACAGTGAGCCTATTACTGTCTAGCTCTGCCTGCTTCAACTGGCTTAGAAATACAAAGAAGCCCTACCCCCTCACAGCTCAGTTCACAGCAGGAATGTCTAGCTTTAGTAATTATAGTCTGTTCAGAGGGGAAAGTGCAGCAGGGGAGATGCTCAGGTGGGTGCCACAGAGTTTATGCTCATTGGAACAAGGGCTGCTCTGACATTCTGCAAACAGGTGCATCCTTCCCTTCAGCATGTAAAGGCAGCAAATGTAACAGATATTTGGGGTGGTTCTGTGGTCTGCTCTGGTCACGCTCACCTCCCATTCCTCTCTGCAAAGTGCAGGAATGGTGTGTGGGAAGGAGAGAAGCCAGCTCTGGGTCTTCAGGAGGTGCAAGGCTCCTCAGAGTGTAGAGCTTTAGAAGGACTGGGCAGTTCTGTGCTTGCCTGTGCTGACCAAACTCTCCTATCAGCAGGAGTTTCTCTAGGAAGGTTGATGTCACCCTTCCCACCCTGCTCTCAGCATGGCTGCGTCTTCATCCTTTTAGTTTTTCCCATGTGACACTTTCCATAGACACTTGATACTCTTCAGCAGGGTCTGACTGATACCCTCCTCTAATCTGTGGAGTGGGGACCCAGCTTTGTGAAATTCTGGGACAAAGAACTTTTCAATAAGATTAGAGGCTTAAAAGTCAAGGCCAAATGTGATCCAGCCCAGTGATCAATGTTGTTTGGAAAGCAAGCCCATGGGGAGAAGTGAATTCTGGAACATGCTTCCATGGCACTGGTAATACCCACCTGCTTTGTAGGTGGGTGGTGCTGGACCATGAAGTGTTACTCTGCCCTGGCCAGGCCAGCCCCAGCCCCAGGGTCTGTGTGCAAATGAACCCTGTGGGTGTGGGTGCTGGACATGTGGCCCATGAGTGAGGAATTCCATGGCCCAAAGGTTTCAGCTTCGCTCCTGTGAACTCAGCTAGTATTTTCCTAGCACCAGTTTTGTGCACTTTGGGCTCTGGGTTGATGCAATTGTGAGTTCAGCGAAGCCTGAACTCTGCTCAGCCCTGCAGACACCAGCAGAGAAAGTTCAGGGACTGAAAGCAGCCACCTGCCCTTGGTCAGCAAGATCAGCACAGCTGAGCCACCTGTGCTGGAGACATTTTAAATCCAGGTTTGATCTACATTCCTGTAACAGATTTTAAGATCTTATAGTGGCTTAAGACACTAGAACCGATGTAAGTGGTCAGAGACAACTCTGTAGATGCTGAGAGGCTGTTGATGGTATTCTGGCTGGATCCAGCTTGCCAGGCTTTCTCACTCCTGAATCCTTCTCTGCCTTTAGGCTAGTTCTGGAAACTGCAGGCATGTACGAGCTCCCTTTACTTATCTCTCTCGGATGGCTTAAGAACCGTGTAGCTCCACAGAGGGAGGGAGTAGCAGTGTATTCCTCTGGTGCTTCTGCATGCATCCCCTTGTCACCCTTCCCCTCAGCCATACGGATGAGCAGGGAGTTGTACAAATCCACTGCAAAGACTAGGCAGCAAATAGAACAGGGTATTGCAATTAATTACAGGGTGCTTTCTGACACTCTATCTAGTGGATGCTTCAAATCTGAAACAGAAATATTTTCTCTTAGTGTCCTGAGCAACTGCAGAGTCCAAGCTTTGCAGCCCCTTTGCTTAACAACAGCGAAGACCCTCTGCGTGCTGAGGGGAGAGCTCCCCCAGCCCGGTCAGCTGTTTGCTGCTGTAATCAGCTCGGTTCACTTTCCTCCCTCTTTTCAAGGCGCTGATAACAGCCAGGTGACCTTTGTCTGAGCTTCCTCTTTAAACTCCCTTGGCTTTTGCTTCATTGCCTGGTTGTTGCGATCTGTTCTGATATCAGTAGAGGCTGCTCCCCTTCCCTTTCTCTTCTTATGCAGTATCAAAGCTCTCTAAATTTGCTTGAACATATTTGCATTTAGGTCAGGAGTTACTTGAGTAAAAAGTTTTTTTTTTTTTTTCTCCTGTCTTTCTCTTAACTTTGTGAGGAAGGGTAATAAGCACAAAGGCAGGTGGGAAAAGAAATGTGGGCTATAAATAAACAGGTTTGCCACACAGGGGAGGACAAAGTCATTAGTAAGAGAAAAAATAACTGATATGGCAGCAAGCTACATCTTCAGCTGATGTGAAGCAGCCTCTCCCCATGGAAACAATGGGACATTTCACTGCCATCAGCTGAGCTGCTCAGTAGGTCTGCTCCCTTCTGCAGTGTCTAACCTGTCTGTAGCTGCCTCCTTCCACAGCAGCAGCAAAAGAGGTTGGACAACAACCCTCTGTGCTATGAATCTTCATCTGCATTCTTTGGCTCCTTGTAGCTGTGTGCTTGGGCTGCCTAAGTCCCTGCTGGGCTCTCTGGATGCAAAGCGCCAACACCAAGGTGGCTGTCACACCCCAGATGGTCATTCCAACCTGTGCCATAGCACTGCAGGGTTGGCTGCCCAATGCCACTGCCTCCATCCCAGGATGTATTGGGATGGGAACAAAACAGCTGTGAAGGAGCCATGCTGGGATCGTGGGGGTCATGGGGACAGGATGGCCTTGTTGTGAGAGTGCTGTTAGCAACTGGGAGACCTGGGTGTAGGTGCTGGTTCCATTTTAGTGTGTGCACATTGCATTCACCAACTCCATGCTCCTTGGAGCTTCCTTTGCAGATGGCAAAGTACTTCTTCCCACCACTGGTTGCGCTGAGAACTTCAGCTCTTTCAGAAGAAGTCTCATGATAGCTTTCTGAAGCTTTGCACACTGTCTTTTGGAATATTCTTAGAACTGCAAAGGTACAAGTAGGGACTGGTATGCTCAGCAGTTTAAGTATTAACAGGACATGTGGGAACTGGGGTTTGCTGTATAGAATTGGTAAACATTTAGTTGCTAAACTTAGACCCACGCACTCTAGAGAGAAATCCAGGGTTTTATTAATTGGGTTTGAAGTCAAAGGTTAACTGTAATTTCATACAAGAACAACTCACCTGGATTCTGGGTGTGCCTGATGCTCTGCAATAGCTTTTGCACCATGCAAAAATCACAGCTTTGGCAGGGCTGCCAGTGCAAGGCTCTGTCGATGTGACAGAGGGGGCAGATCCTGGGGCTTCTGGTCTCTCTCTGGTTCACTGTGACACAAATAAGCCCGGGGAAGGACCTGCTAAGAATTACTGGATAATGCCTAGCTGGCAGGCTGGGAAGCGGCATTTGAAAGAGGCAAGCTCAGCGCTTTTATCACCCAGAGTCGCGGTATTCTTCCCAAAAGAGCTGCCTGGATGGGCCTGATGGATCTTGAATGAAGCTGGGCTGCATTTCATCCCGTTTTCCCGCTGGCTTTTCCCTCTCTATCCAGGCGAGGCTCCAGCGGTCCCCGCCTGCCACCCGCAGGTGACACCAGGGGACAGCGCACGGCCCGAGGGTCCCTCCCGGGCTGCCGTCCTGCCCAGAGCCGGGGCAGATAATCCACAGGTGAGGCTGAACTGGGCTATTCAAGGCTACCAACTCCACCGCTGGACCCAATGTGTGCTTGTTGCTCCCAAGGGCTCCTTTTTCCCTCTTGACATGAATTTTCTTTAATTCTTTCTCTTTTAACATTTGCTCTGAGCTCCCACAGGTGAGAGTGTCATGCCAATGATCTGCTGTCACCTCTGGCTGTTGGTGTTACACAGTGCCACCCCAGGGCTGAGGTAAGCAAAGTATGGCCACTATAGATGCTGCTTGTGTGTTATCTAGAAGGCAGCTTGGGATGTTTTTTTGGGTGGTGGAATCCTTCAATTAAAGCAAATGTGCCCATTTCCTGCTTTTATAAGTGAGAATGCAATTACAACATGTTTCTCGTTTTTTATTTCTCTAAAATGGATTCTTTCAAACCTAGGCATATTTAGAATCATGTATATCTTCTTATTTCAGTACAGAAAAAGAAAAGCTAATGCTCAAATGCCAAATAATTTAATGAGGAACAGGTCAGGCCATACTAGAAACCACTTCAGACTTCCAGATCCAAAATACATAGCTATGTGAGCAGAAAGGCCACGTCTGAGGGAGAAATGTGTCTCTTCAGATGCATTACCTCAAAGGGCAGGGAGGAATGCAGAGCTTTTCAGGCACACAAACACCCCTGAACCAGCAGACTGTCTGCTGCAGGAAGGCAATGATCAGGGAGAAGGAGGGATGGCTTCCCTGAGAAGATCAATTCATGGAACTGTGTTCATGGCTCTGCATTTATGAACAAAGCAGGAGTGATTCAGATAAAGTAAACCAGAACATCTCTTGACCAGCTTGAGCGAGGGCCTGGGCTTTGTTCCCCCAGCATGATTGCTGGGTCATTCATGGATGGAATGGAAATTACTGCTTTTGGGTCTCATGCCAGAAATGAAGCAAGTGTGTCCCCTGGTCCACCTCCCACAGCTAGTTTTAAACCCACTAGATAAAAAATGTGCAATCCTATTTGAGAAGTTTGCAGAGACAATGGGTTGACATAAATGAATCCCTGCTGCTTTGGGGTAGGAGATGTCAAGAAAATAATTCTCCATGCTAGCGCTGCTGTTTCTGCATTGCAGGGATCCAGGAGCCACATTTCTGCAGGTGTCAGAGGGGCCCAGCCAGAAGCTCCCCAAACAGAGCCCTGGCATGCCCAAGGCTGCAGCCATCCCAGCTCCTCCCTGGGGACCCACTCCTGGTGCAGCCAGACACGGCCCAGGCCTCTCCCTGCCCACAGCCCCTCAGCACAGCTCTGTGGACA